CTCCAGGTGCCGCGGGAGCTGTGGGGCTGCCCGGCGCAGCGGGCGGCCGCATGCGGTATGCGCGCTCGGGTCTCGGAACAGCGGGCGCGCCGCGTTTCTCGCTTGATGCGTGTCTGCTTGCTTGTCTGTTTAAGCTGTGATACCCTCCTGCCTGCCCTAGTTTGCGGGAGGGAAATACGATCTGGCGGGCAAGCGCAATCCATGTTTTGGGTCTGTACTGCTGCTTAATTCCCAGTATTGTAACTACTGGGGAATCCAGACATAGCAGAATAGCTAAAGACCTATTCTGAATTGCGATTTTAACTTTAATTAAAGTCCTATATAGCAGTTGCAGGGCTAGTAAACAGGCCTGAGTGGAAGCGGCTTCATTTACCCAAGATTGTTTTATCTTCTGGTTGCTGTATTTTCAAAGACTGTTTTTATCCCTTCCTAAGGAAATCTTTCTGTCTGTCTGTCTTCTGTAAGTAGTATGTATGACATCCACTGTACAAGAGACTTGAGCCATTTTTACTATGTTATGGCTCAAATTAAAATTAAGTGTTCAGAAAGATATTAAGGGAAAAAATCTGAGGAGTAAAATGTGTGGGAGGTGACTGTTGCTGATATATCTTGATAATGGAAAATAGGAAATCTGGTAAGATACTGCTTTCTGAATGTGTATTTAGATCTTTAAAAGCTTCAAGATCAAAAGTGGCGTCACAAAAACAGCAAAAAAGAAGGGGGGCAGGGAAAGGGATAAAATGAGTGCAGCTAAGTAGCGTAAGTCTAAAAGTCAGGAAAGCTGAGGTATAAAATTTCCTTCCTGCCAGGAAGGATAAGGACAACTGCTTTATAAATCATGGGTATTGCAAAAAGACTGAAAGAGTTAATGCCTCTTTATTTGCTCTTAATGAAGACATGGTCAGATTCTTGTTAGAATTGTGTATAATGAGACAAAAGGAATGCAGGTAAGAATCAAAAAAGAGCTATTTGGATAGGAGAAAAGCTTGGCAAGCACTGATAAAATTCACTATAGAAAATGCGGATAACTAGCTGCAATATTTTCTGAATTGTTAGAGATTATTTTAAAAACCTGTGCTAGTCCAACCTTTAAAGCCTGAAGAAGTCCAAAGATAGCCTCATGTTTTCTGAAGAGTGAGAACAGAAAATATGAGGAATTATGGATCACTAATCTTAACTTTGATCCTCTGAAACATTCTGGGGAGGTGTGGGAAGAGAATTTTTTTTTTTTTTTTAAGCAAGCAGAAGCCTGTCTAGTTTTGGGTTATTAAGAACATTCTAGTTTTTTTTTTTTTTTGATAATAGACAATGTAGTTAATGAGAAAGCAATAGTAGTGGTGTGTCTTGACTTACAGAGGGTTTCTGCCATTGTTTTGTTTGACATTGTTAAAAACATGCTGCTGAAATGTGGTCTTTTTTGACATGCGTACAGCTGCTTGAGAAATTACTTTTCTACAGCTGACTTGCAAATGATTCACTGTAAAACAGGGATATCATGAAGCATCATCCCAGAGAGCTCTGTTTTGAATATATTTTTTTCAGTTTTCTGCAATGGAAACAAAATGTGTAGCTGAAATACTGAGTGTATGGGGTAGAGTCAGAGTTGGAAATGCTCTTAAAATGGAGAGCTGGTTTGAAGTTGGTGAAATTCAGTTCAGTGGACAGGAGATTTGAAAGCTGAACACAGGCAGGAAAGGAAAGTCAAAGGTAAAGTTAGTGGAAGGATATAATGAATAACGAGCATTCTCCCCTGAGGGATACAGTGCATGAGGGATAGAGTTTTAGTAATTTTATTTGTTTATCTTAACATAGATAAGTGTTACTCTGGCATGTATTAGTGTGAGATTTTTATATATAAAACTAGGCAGGTAAATTCTGTTGATTAAGAGTTTTTGTTGGAGTGGAATCTCTTGAGTATGTAGCTCTAGACACTGTAAGACTATTAGACTGTTTTGTTTGTGAAGGGAAGTTGAAAGAAAAGGATACTCTTAACCTACAAACAAGGTGATTGCAAATCAGAGTCCTCAGATATTTAGGTTACTCTATAAAGGTTACTGAATAACTAGTTGTTCACTTATTATAGAACACAAGAAGAAATCATGTCTCTTTCTAGAGAATAATGCTTGGGTTGGTTATTAGGATTTCAATACACTGAAGTTGGCTCTCTGCAAAAGTAGTTAATAGCTTTTGTCAGAGAGGAAAACAGCTGGACAGACATCTGTTGGGTGCAGTCTGATCTCTAACGTCCTTATAGGTCTAAATTTTAATAATTGTGCATATGCAAACTTGGTGGTATTAGAAATTTTAACTAGCGGAAACTGCTTTGTAGCCCGACAAAGTTTCCTTCTACCTGCATTTGAATGGATCCTTTGCAGAAAAGGACCATGATGTGTCACTCTCTTCTGCGTAATGCAGAAGAGTACATGTGTGATCAGTAAAGGATTTGCTTTCAGATATGTTTCTAAGTGTGTTGTCTACTGGTGTATAAGAATGCCTTAATCAAAAGATGAGCGTATAGTACATTGGAAAGTGCCACAATGGAAGTGCGATATTGCTCCTGTCAATAAAACATTGAGATTATCATTAAGGGAGCAACAAGCCTAATAGTTTTTCAGAGTAACTGATTTGGAAAAGGGGGAGATGTTTTCAGTGCTTCTACAGAGGCAATACCTCCTTCTGTGTTGCAGCATATCCCAAAGACAAGGAGGAAGGCTTTTAGACAAATCCTTTCCACAGCCTGAGGCATCACAGGGTAGGGAAGCAGAGGATGAAGAGGATGCTGATTCTCATTCAATTATCTTTTCAGTCTAAGAAAGTTTCTTTTTTTTTTTTTTAAGAGCTGGTTCTTCTGCTAGTGAAATGCCAAAATGTTACTGGAGTGTGAGGGCCTTGGTGCAGTTCTGTTTTCCCTGTACCTTTATTGGCTCGCCAGCTTTGTAAATTCCTTGTGTATTAGGAAGCTTCAGCGAAGCTATCCAGAATGTATTGTTGCTTGCTAATGTGGTTAATCAGAAGTTTAGTCATGGAAAAATGCACATCAGTAGTCCAAGTCATTAGTTCAAACACTAATGATTTTCAGTCTATTATAATTCTAATGCATGATTTATGACAGTCTTGCTTGCCAGCAGTGGTTTGGAGCTGAAATCTGGATCTTTAGTAGCTTTGCCTGTTGAAAGGAAAAAAGCTCAGGCTGTGAAAATGGGAAGCTTACACTGCACTTCTCGCTGTATATTCCAGGCCCGCAAATGTATGCTTCAAAAGCGTATGGAGCAGTATAATACGAAAAATATTAATCTTGACAGTGTTAAGTTGTTTAGGACTTAATGTGCCTTGAGGCTTGTAAGATACCTCAACATCATGGTCTTCAGAGATTGAGTGCTTTATTTAAGACATGAATAATTGACTTTCTGAAATAATCCAAGTGAATAATGCAATTTCTGTGATTTACTTTCTTTTAATACTTTTACATACTACTTATGTCTTGAGTTTGTTATTAATTTGACAGTAGCTGTTCGTAAGAACAAAGATGTGATTGAGACTTGGAGTGTTTCTGATACAAGTGAAAAAAGGCGCTGAAAGATTTGCTTGTGATATTTAAAAGCTTGCAATTTATCTTTAATCTGGAAAATTAAATTTTCTATATGTGTTTTTAGAAGTAGGAAGAACTGAAACGCTGCTGTATAAAAAGGAGATCTGAAGTAAATGCAAGTCATCTTTTCAATTGTTTTGTTGTCACAAACTAACAAAGTAATTGCTGCAAACTCTGGATCATAGCTTAAATCAGCTTGATGTAGACTATTTTCTTAAACTCATGAATGTTTAAGATTTTCTCCTAAGCTTTAATGAGCACATACTGGTTATTAGGGTCAGAAATGGCTGTGTGTTCAGGCCACAGAGTCACAAAATGATTGAGGTTGGAAGGGACCCTTAGAGATCATCTAGTCCAACACCCCTACTCAAGCAGATAGTTGTGAACTGCAAGTGTTTTGTATTTCTTTTATCACAAGGAAAGTTTATGTTCTCAGAAGATCAAAATACTTGTTCAGCATTGTATTTTATTGGAGTTATCAGATTTAAACATGTGCACATTTGCAACTAGAGTAAACTTTACAGTTTTTTAATGTAATTTGTTCTATTTATTAACATGTCTGCATGTCTGTGGTGTAACCAGTGTAATAGAGGGCAGTTGCCTTTAGAAGGGGTTATTGTAAATATCTGGTAGAGCTTTAAAAACAAGTAATAAAATATTTAAATATGGTGATTACCATATTCCTGAGAGGTTGATGTTTGAGCTTTCTGCTTGTGGTCTTCTGTGATACATGTTGCTGCTGGTACTTATTTTTTTTGAAACATGGGTAATTATTTCTTCATACTTTTTAATGGCGGTAATGGCTGTAAGCTTGTATGCTAGTGAGTTGCAAAAGAATGAAAACTCTATCTTCTCTATATATTTTTCATTTCCTAAATATAAAATTATTTTAAGTGAGAACCAGGTAGGAGATGTTTAAGCAAAGTTGTAGGTTAAGGAATTCAGATTTCCTATGTCCTACACAGAACTTCTATCTGCAGACCTATTCTTCTGTAGAAAATGCTGGTTTCTTCTGACTTATGTCATTTTTGTAGTGGCTGAGGTCCGTATGGCTGCCAGAGTAGTTCTGTACCTCATTTTTCTATCTTAACAGGAATACTTTTTGTGATTTAGCAGGATGAAGTGTACTGTGTTAGGGACATCTGTGTTAGCAAAGGATGAGAAAGGTTTCTTAAGTGTTTTATGTTTTAGATTTTTAATGTAGTTCCTTGTATGGAGTTTTTCTCTTGAATCCTTTGAGGAGAAAAACAGTCTTTCAAACTATTTGCAAGGTAGAAGGTGCTTTGTAGTCAATGAAAAACAGTTGTGGTGATAGTTTAGGCAAAGAGACTGAGTATGATTACTTGAGCAGTATATGTTAATGATTCCAGATGAAGTTGTGAAGTCAAAGATATGGACCTTGGATTCAAGGATAAATGCCTTGATGACCTATCCATGCCAAGTTAGGGACCTTTTGCTTTGCTTAAAACTATGGTTTCCTATATGATTTCCTGTATTTAAGGAGAAGTATCTTCAGGATGACTGGCTTGCACTTGCTTCTGTATAAGCTGTTGAACTTGAGAGATATGGGGGAGAGGGGAACTGCAAATGTAGGGGGGGAAAAAAAAGAAATACGCAGTACTGGCCTTTTAATCCACAAGAACTGTTATGATTTATAAAAGAAAATGAAACTTGAAACCCTAACGAGGTCTATATTTGTGAATAGAATAAGTAAGGAGTTTTATGAATGTGACAAGTATGCCTTAAATTCTTATGGACATTAATTTTTGCATGTATATAGAATGAAGTAAATGGGGTGGGTGTGTGTGTGTATATATATGTAGAGAGAGAGAGAGGTGTGAGGCCAAAGAATTTAAGCTTTTCTATGAAATAACACATTTATAGTTGCGTGAGATAGTGCAACTGTCTATTTTTCCCATCAAACTGAAAATGTATTGACCAACTTCCTTATTTTCTTTTCTCAGAAATGACTACGCCAAACAAGACACCACCTGGTGCTGATCCAAAGCAGTTAGAGAGGACTGGTACTGTTAGAGAAATAGGCTCACAAGCAGTTTGGTCACTGTCATCCTGTAAACCAGGTAAAAACTTCCCCAAAAAATTGTAAACAGCTGAATGTAGTTTTTTTTCTTAGCAAAACAAAAACAAAAATTTGCTTTTCGGTGAGAAGACATACTTTGTTCTTTATCTTTGACTTACGGAATAATAGATCCACAGTGTGGCATTAAAACTGCTTTGGTTAAACTATATTGGGGGCTATTAGAAATAATTTTGGCCTAGTCTGCATTTGTTGCAGTTTGACAGTGTGTAGTTGTATCAGAAAATCCAACGGTGAAGAAATACATTAGCGAATTGGTTAGTCACTTCCAGAAGAGTGAAGGTGAATTTTTACTGCAGATTGAACTTCAGCTGCTAAGTGAAAATTGCAACTGATGTGGGCTATCAGGAAAAGAATGTGATTAGTAGAAGGCATTGATAGAGTAGGAAGAATGAAGATATGAATTCCTTTTTTTTTTTTTTTCTTTTTTTTTTTTTTTTTTTTAGTTTGATAAAATTAGTTTTTAGGAATACTGTCACTGAGGTGTCTTTTTTGGTATCTTTGTTGCTTGTTTTAGGTATTTACTAGTTCAAAAAAGTAATAATGTAATTCAATATAAATAGATAAGATTTCAGCCAGATGTAATATTATGATAAAAGAACAATCTTTGTCAATGGCTTTCCTTTAGTTTAACAATGTGATTATAGACCAGGTGTAAAGGCCTGACTATAGAGTATTGTTCTTGCAGTTATTCCAGGTTACTACTTACTGTTTGTAACACCAGGGTGTGCTGAGTGATTTCAAATCTCAGTCCTAAATAGGAGATAAGGATGTAAAGATAGTCTAGTACTAAGGTTTTATTGTCAAAGTTTGCTGTTCCAGTTTTATTACAAAAATGCACCAAAACTTGGGTATTTAGAAATACTTCCTTCCTTGTTATAACTTGGGGTATGTGTTTTTTGGTTTATAACAGTTCTCAAAGTTATGCTTGATGACTGTGTCACAGGATGCTGAGGATCATAATCTTTTCTTTCTTTCTTAGGTTTTGGAGTGGATCAGTTACGAGATGATAATCTAGAAACCTATTGGCAATCAGATGGCTCACAGCCTCATCTGGTGAACATTCAGTTTAGGTATTAAAATTACTCTGTATGGGCTAGGGCTTTTTGTATAACTTTGTATTGATCACTCTTTGCGAAGGTAGGAAGTTTGAAAGTGCAAGAATTTCTGAACTAATCCTGTTACCTAGCTGGCAGGTTAGCCAGTAAGACTGTGTGTATGTATGTGTATATATGTGTGTATGGACACCTGCACACATGTATGTATATTTTTAATGATGCTATAGCTGCTATGTCTAAGTTAGCAATAAAAGGAATGTAGTAGCTTGTAGTGGCTTCATATTTATTGAAGGTAAAATTTTGATCCTTTGTCTGTAGCTTTCTTTGCCTATAATTTGTAGGGTTGATAACAGTTTTTAAAGCAGGCCTGTATGATTTAATACCTGGCTGTCTGAGACCTTTTCTTACTCTATTATGCTGTCCTTAGAATGCTTTCAATCCCTTTCTTTTACCAAGCTCTAAGATGAGGACAGGCATTTGGGTCATTTTTCTGCTTTGCTCTCTGGGGAACTCTATAGCAAGTATAGCAACAGAGCTCATGTTCAGTAAGCAAAATGCACTAACATGGCATGATATGTCATGTGAGTGTTTTATTGTCATCTTGACCTTTCCTTGGATTTCTTAGTATACTAACATTTGCATTAGGCAGGCAAAAGGTAACAACAAAGGCCAACTGTGTGTGAAGTTAATGTGTAGAAGTACTCAATTGCTGTAGCACTAGAGATCTTAAAAACTAGTAGGTATGTTTTGCTTATATAAAGTTTTACACTTGAATCCTCCTTGTTACAAAATAGCAACAAGCTCTTAATGAATATTTTACTTAGAATACTTAACATATCTTTTGTTGCTTCTTGCAGAAGAAAAACAACAGTGAAAACTTTATGTATTTATGCAGACTACAAATCTGATGAAAGTTACACTCCAAGCAAAATCTCTGTCAGAGTAGGAAATAATTTTCATAATCTCCAGGAAATCCGGGTAAGTCAAGGATGTTTCACTTTCTGTCTTAACGGTCCTATTTTACTAGGTCACTTGGTTTAGTAGAGAGGATTTTGAATGTGAAGTATGACAGTGCACTTGAAAGACAAAAGTAGCTGCATTTGTTCTGCTGCTTTCTTTTAGTTTTTATTCTCTAAATGTAGTGCTATTCTCTAAATGTTTTGTGTTATTGCCAATATGGTTATAATAGACTTGATATGCTGCTCCTGGAATGGGTATAATGAGTGTGATTATATATGTGTGTATATATATATTTTTTTACTGAACAGGACTATGAAGTCAGTTGAACTTTGATCTCACTTCAAGTATCTACAGACCCCATGCATGGCATACCTCAAAGGGAGGCTGTGTTTTGTTTTTGGGGTGTGTGTGGTGTGTGTTTTTTTCCCCCCCCCAGCTATTGCAATTCTAGGCAAAAAAAAAAAAAAACCAAAAAGCTTAACAGGTGAATTCAGGCTTTCTTCACAAATGGGTTACTTAGCTATTTGTTATCAGCAGAAATCAAATATAGGACTAGAGACTTCAGTTATGACTGTTATCCATGGAAGTATCATCCATGAAAATATCTTTGCAGTCAGGTGGCTTTAGCTTTAGGAGGCTGAGTGTACTAGTGGTCTTATTTTATTGTCTGATTCAAAGCTCCTTTTGAAGTTCTGGCAGAAAAGCTGTAAATGTAAGGCCTGATCATGAGTTACGCTAAAGTGTTTGTCTTCTGCTGGCTGAAGAATCTTTATATTAGTGACAGTCTGTATAGTTGCTAGCAACTGACTGCAGTTACTATTGTTGTTGAGACCAGAGCAATTGCAACACTGTTCTGAAGCCATTTAAAGAAAGACACTAATATAAATTGGATGCTTAATGTAATTCAGTTAGATGTGTTGATAAGATATATTTTATTTATAGCTATTAGTTCTGATCATCTGCAATTTCTTGTGTGTGTGTTTGTTTTTTGTGTTTTTTTTTTTTAGAGTAGTCACTATTATATTTACATTTCAGAAGGAATACAATATTTTTTGTCTTCTGTCTATAGGTATTGCAAAATCCAATTTCTAGTTCTGTAAATGTAGAAATTTGTTGCTTAATTTCTAACAGGACATAGCCAAACATGGTTTCGTAGCATGTTGTTAACATTTTTTTTATGCATACTAGGCTGTAGTAAGTCAAAAGCAGTATTTATCCATGGTGATACCTTATTTAAAATGACTCAAATCTGATCACAATTATTCTATTAGAGAACCTTTCTACAAGCTTCGCTAATAATTACTTTTGTGGGTATGATAGTGTTTTGGTACATAGTAAAAGTAGATTTAAAGCAATGATGATCTTCATAGGAGCTGGCCTTGTGAGCTAATTGGGTATCTCATTAGCAGCAGGTATCTTGGATGATTTTGAGTTACTGTAATCTCATAAGTCAGATTCCTGATCTCAAGAGCTTGACAGCTACAACCTCATACATTGTGGGAGCCTTTAGCTTACCTCTCTTATATGGAGAATATTGCAGAAACAAGTATCAGCAGTGACTAGAAAAGGAAGATATGAAGTATTTCTTTGGGGGTGAGGAGGTAATTTATTTTTTTATATACTTTTTTTCCTTTGTTTGAAGACACAAGAAGAGCAATGACCTGTAAGCAGAAGATTGGAGATGCAGTGGGCTTGAGAGGTGTGGTAAACTCATGCCTATTTTACAATGGCACTGAAAATATATTCTTTCCTGATTTGTAGTGTGCTGTCAAGTTTGGGGTATTGTACCTTTGTCCTAAATCTAAGAGCCAAGGGTCTTGCACCATTTATTTTTGTAGTAATGTTTTGAAAAGAAATGAATCATCACCTTAAAGTGCCTTTTGCTAGCTGGGTATTCTGTCTTTTAATTTCCTTAGTTACAGGATTTGGGAATCACATGCTGTATAATAGAGAAAACTCCATCTTTTCCTTGTTAGGCTGTGGTTTTGTTTTCAGAGTGTCCACTAGATGTCATTGTGGTCCTTAATTATCAGTTTTCTGATTTTGTGTCTCTGTCTACTTATCAATAATGGTTAACCTTCTGTGGAAGTTTACTACGACATTCTGCATATAACTTCAGTAACATAAAAAGCTTCTTAAAAAGTAGTAAGCAATCGCTTCTGAGGGTATATGTGGCGTTAAAGACCCACACAAATATAATGCACGTATAGAGATATTTCGAATTTAAATGCTGTTGTTTATAAGCATATTAGTCTACTGCTGTTTTTTCAGGCTATATTTCATAATTTTTCCATCTTAAAAATAAGATTTTATGCACAATGTAATTTATAAAATACTAGTAATCTTTTCTGTATTTCTTTTATACTATATTAATGTGGCTGTAATATGTTGCATGAAACCAGTAATACTCATTCATATGCCTTCTCTGCCTCAAAACTGAGCAGAAAATATGGTCAAGCTGCTTACCAGTGGCATGTAATACTTTACCATAAAATATTATATTCATGACTAATTTTGTGGCCTTTGTGGTGATGGTTTTTATATGTCTTAATCAAGTTTGATATTCAAAATGTGTTTTTGTGTTATTCTTCAATGCTGAAACTTCATTTTTTCTTCAGCCTCTCTGACCCAAAGTTATGTCTTGAAAGCATTGTGAATTCTTCGGTGCTAATCTACTTAATTATACAGTGATTCCGTTGGTTTCAGGACTGATTAACTGAGTGGAAAATCCTACTAACTCGCTTTGCTTTTCCATGGACGCTTGCTTGGCTTGTAGTATCTAATGAAGATACTATGATGCCCTCATGTCTCTTCCTAAAGGTCTAATTCTCAAGGGCAGTATTAGGTTTCAGGTTAGGCTAGGTTTTGTCCCTAATAGGGGATTAGCTTCAGTATATAGAGTCTAGTTTGTAGGTATGTCCTTTTTGGAACTTAAGATGAAGCATTTGAAGCATTTTCTCAATGAAAGATTTTCCTCTGAGATGTCTATCCTGCAGTTGAGAACTGTCTTTGTAATGTGGCAGAATTCCCTGCTGAAAGAGCTACAATTAAGGTGTAGGTGCAGGTGGAAGCTTTCTCTTGAGTCCTTTCTCTGTGTTTGTATTATAGCAGTCAAGTATGAGGAGCAAATAACCTCATTTCTGGTTCCAGAGGTCCTCCATTTAGTGGGACAGTCAATTTGGTCTGCAGTAGCATTTCTGGAGCAGCATCCAAACTTCAGTGCATGATTTGTGTTACTGCACTTTCTCAAAGTGTGAAAGTAATCTGCTGTAAATGATATGAGTGAAAAGGTTACTGCAAGAGACTTCTGATCTCGTCAGGTGACACTGTCTATGTCGGTAACTCTCCAAGACATTCAGGACACCTGTAGTTCATCCCCCTTTAAACAAATCAAGTGCTATGATGTCAAGTGCAAGTAGGATGTCAGAGTGAGTTCACCTTAATGGCTTTGTAACAACAAAGTGCTTGTAAACTCTTCTACCAGCCAGTTCTGCATCTTTGGTATAAACACTCTGAGGTGTGAGACTTTCTGAAAGTGATAACTGACTTTTCATACCAGTTCACATCTGAGAAGACTCTGATGCTTAATTCCAAAACTAAAGCTGTTTATTGAAGTAGAGGCTCTGGAAAGAGACCCAAGAGTTCCATATTCTGCTCTGCCCCTTTATGGAACACTGCCATAGAATGCAGCATACGTGTCTGTGCAGTAACAAGAGAAGGCGATAACATACTTACAGATGAGACACTCTAGAAAAAAAAAATCATAGAAAGGATTTTCTTCTATGCATTTATCTGAAAACATGATCTTTTTGATTTTAGAGCTGTTCCTGTTACGTCTTCTGGTTCAATGTGTGTTTTTCCTCTAGATTACTGTAAAATGAGCTTGATGCTAATTGTATTTTGTTTATGTTGAGAAATACATTCAAACTTTGTGCTATGTATGATTCTGTATAATAAAAATGTTGTTAGAGTTGTTAAAACGTATAGCTTTGCATTTAAAACTTTGAGAGAAATACTTTGCCTATGCACATTTCAGGGATAAAACATTCAAACTGCCACCTGCTAATATATACTGTTTTGGACAGTGACTCCACAAACACTGTTCTTTTCAGAGATTTTCTTCCAATTCATGGTGAACCTCACAGACCATTTTCTAACTGTTACTAATGTGGACCTGATTGGTCTAAGGTTAAATAAGCTGGAATATATTTTTTTCTGTCTATTAGCATTAATTCTTTACTAAATCCAATTACACATGTGTAAATGATCTAAGACAGAATGACTATAAGTTGCCTCCTATTCCAGTAGAAAGGCACAAAGATGTTTCTGTTGTGATAAAGTACTTACAGTTTTTTGATTTTGACTTGGAGGATGTATATTTCTTAGTTGTTTGTCTGGTCCAGGAGAGCCAACAAGATTTGTGATAGAAACAAACTGTTGTTGCTAGTCATGGTGTTGCTGTGTGGACTCTCATCCTTTCATATTGCCTGAAGGTGATGATAATCCATCTGGAGGATAAGATACCTTGATGCTCAGACCCAAAAGCGAGTGAATTGCACTGAAATATCCCAGTGAGAGAAGAGTGGCAGGCCATGAATATGGTCTGTTTATGCAGTAGGGCAAGTCTGCATGTGAAGAGCATCATGGCTTCGTGCAACTTAAATGAGCAAGATATTTGTCTCTTCTGGAAGCTGTTCAGTCTGAAGTAGTGCTGCTGAAACAGGGTAACTTCCATTGTTAGCAAACAGCCTGTATAGGTGTCCAGTGATCCTCTGCCTCCCAGTGATAGATAAGCCTTATGTGCAAAGAAGGTGCTTTGCCACTGGGGGTCCTTTATAGCAGACTCTGCACTGAAGAATGATGCCAGTTTTGACACTTCTTTTTGGAAGAGGCTAAGTTGCTGTGTGCTTTATTCTTGGAACAGAAGCCTGTTTAATGTATGGGTCCTTTGTTTCAGTTTGTTTATCAGGCAATATGGCTGTGTTGAGTAGCCATCTATTTTGTTTTCAATTTCTATT